GAGATTATACTGCTAGTTAGTGATAGTGGGACAAGAAACCAGTGCTTCTGGTATCTGGTAGTGTAATATGCTGATACTTATTTACAAGATGGATCTGCAAGGTGGCTATACCTAGGGTCTGTCTGAAAATCCAATTCTGTTATGATCCTTTTTGTATTTTAAGTAAATTTTTATTGATATCTTCTGTTTCTTACATCATCACAATCATCTCAAGTGAATTTTCTATTCCCCCTCCCACCTTCATACGTTTATTAAAAAAAATCTATTCTTCAAAGAAAAAAGCCAGTCCAGAATTCTGATTCAAAAATTCTTTCTGAGATAATGATGCCATCTAAAATTTGTAGTAAGCAGCTTACAAAGACTTTACACGTACATCTTCTCATTTCATCATAACTGTGTGGTGTAAGGAATTAAAATTTTCACTTTTCTTACAAAAAAGAGAAACCAAGGCTGACAGGCTAAAAATCACAAAACCAATGATACCAAACTAGTAAGCTGCAGAGCAAGGCAGGAATAACCTCCCTAAAAGTGTATACATTTGTAGTAACCTCTTAACAGTTACATATGTCTATATTACAACATTTTAAGTTTATGGCTTATATAATGAATTTGCATGGCAGAGTCAGATTTCAAAAAGATGAAATCCCCCCCTTGGATATTCAAAATGTAACTCAATGTGTGTTTTAACATCAGTCGTCCAAGGCCAACCTCCTCCTTTTAGAGATGACGAAACTGAGGCTGATTTGTCTAAGGTCACATAAGCAGTAAGTGCTAGTCTAATCTTTTTAGTTCAAATATAAGCCAAATCTCATATGTAGGTTCAATTTAAAATTTTTCTACAGCAGAAAAAATAATTGTCAATTAAACAATTAGATTATTTAATCTAGCATGCTATGGCACAACTGGACCTTATTCTAATATAATGATAACTCGTTTTTCTCTATCTCTCTGCTCTTTTGCTAGTGCATCATTTGCTTCCAATTTAACATACATGGATAACCTCCCAAGTTTTGTACTTGGTTTTCTCTATATTATCTTTATATTATCTTTCTTGTTGAGCTCATCCACATTCATGGTTTCAATTAACACTCTAGAACACTCCCAACCTTGATATGGAATTATCATGCTGTTATTTCCAACTGACTGTTGTCATGAACAAAAACTGAACTTTCCAATTCTCATTCTGTATTTCAGATGGTGTGCCACTGGTCTTCCACCCACCTAGACTCATTTTCTTGGAGTTAGCTTGAAATCTTCCCTTTCTCTTACTCCACACACCGAATTAACTGCAAAGTCCTTACATCCCTTTCCCTGACCTGAGTCTGAAAACCTGAGTACTTAGGTAGCATGTGGATGAGTAGCAGCTTTAAAAATATATATTCTTGTGCTCACATTAAACTACAAATTCAATAATCAAACTTCCAGTAGCTGTAATAGCCATGGCCTTAATTCAAGCTCTTCTCTTCTCTCTTGGTTTACTACATCTGATCATCAGGCGCTCCACTTTCAGTCCTGCTCTCCCAACAAACTCATCCTTGTTACCATCACCAAGAGAGCATGCTCCTCATGGAACCCACTCTTTCATATATGTTCACATTGTTCTAAAAGTCTAAAATCCTTATCTCATGATTTAAAAACTCTTCACCAAAATCTACCAAACTGTTTACTATCCTACAACTACTAGCCCTCTGAGGGATGCTTACTCAAAGACCTTCATCTTCCTGTCCTCCAGTCATTAGTTTTCTTCAAAATAGCATGATGAGAGCCCTGAAAGACTCCCCTAAATCCCACTAACTACCAAGAATTCTCTACCTCTGAAAACTATTTTAGAACCAAATAATTTGAAAGCTGGAGAGAACTTCACTCAATTCACTCCACTTTGCATTTGCAGCTCTGATTGGCTTCAACTCCACAGAACAAGATGGTCCTTCGGGGAGTGCCTCCTGGTGTCTCTCCCCACTTCTAGTTTCCTTTTATGTATTATCTCCCCCCATTATATTATAAGCTTATTCTGGGCAGAAACCGTCTTTTCTATTTCTTATTTTTATCTCCAGCACTAAATACCGCACCTGACACATAGCAGATGCTTAAAAAATGTTTATGGAATAGAACTGAATCTCAGCACCACTTAGCCTAACCTTTACCTGAACGATAATCTCCTCTATAATAAGTAGGCCATTTTTCTTTTGTGTAGCATAATTCTCAGTAAATTTTTCCTTGCATCTAGTCCAAATTCACCTCTTTGTAACTTAAATCCTTTGCTCCTAGTTCTGAGCCCTGGAGTCAAACAGAACAAGCTGGCAATCTTTCTTCCAGGTGACAGCCAAAGACCTGGAGAGAGGAATCAATGATGTCTCTTATTATGTCTCCTCTATACTGAGCTAAATATCTATTATTTTTCAACCACTCCTTATATATAAATCCCTATGAACTCCAGCTCCTTCATCACCACCTAGTTACCAAAAGGATATTCCTAATGTCACTCCCCTGCTCAATAAATTTCATTGGTTCCCCATCACCTATGGGATCAAACATAAACTACTGTTTGATATTTAAAACTCCTTCAATATCTGGCTCCAACCAACCTTTATAGCCTTATTATAACACATTCTCTTCATACACTCTTCCATCCAACCAAACTGGCCTTGCCATTCCTCCCAAACATTATAACTTTTGTACAGGCTGTCCCTCATGCTTGGAATACATTCCCTTCTCACCATCAACTTAAATACCAACTCATACATGATCCTAATCCTCGCAGTTGCTAATATCTCTCCATCTTTCCAAAAAAATGCCACTTATGTGTACAAAGTGCCTTTCCCTACAGAATGAAAGCTCCTTGAGGCCAGGTAATTTTTTATTTTTGTCTTTGTATTCTCAGAACCTAGGACTGTGCTTGGTTAAATGCTTGATGATTGGTCTTCCATGTTGCCTATCTCTGTACAATTTATCTCCAGTTTATCAGTGTCCTTCCTAAAATGTGCTGTCCAGATATTAGGCCTGACCAGGGCAGAGTACAATGGACCCTGTCACTTTTCTAGACTTGGAACTATACCTCTTTTAATGCACCCTAATAAGATTACATATTATTGGCTCATAAAGATATTGTAATTCACTAAAGCACCTGGATCATTTTCAAATGAATCACTGGCTAGCTACACTCCCCAATCTTGTAGATTCAAATTTGATTTTTTTTTAGAACCCATGTTAAAGATTTGGCATAAATCCCTATTAAAGTTCATCTTATTTGGCCCACAGTTCTAGTTTGCTAAGCTCTTTCCTGGAATCTTACTCTGCCACCCCGGGTGTTAACTTCCCCTTTCAACACTGTATCATCTATAAACATGGTTAAGGATACCTTTATCTAAGTCATGATAAGAAAAATATGAAACACCACAAGACAGATCCCTGGGGCACTTCACTGAAGACCTCCTTCCAAGTTATCATCACCCATTTAGAGACTACTTTGGGGGTCTGGTCATTCAATCAATTCCAAATCCACCTAAATGCACTAATTTCTACTCTATATCTGTCCAGCTTTTCCACAAGAATTTAACAACTATACCAAGTTTGAAATATCTTTCACAATTTAAGTATCACCATTTATATCTACATATTACAGTAATATATTCCTCCATTAGATTGTGATATCCTTTTGAATAGAGACTGTTTTGTTTTGCTTTTGTTTGCACCCTCAGTGCTTAAAACAGTACCTGACTCATAGTAGACACTTAATAAATAATACAAACAACAAATACTTATTGACTATGCAGGGCATTCCAAAAGCCTCTGTTCAACTTTAGGCTGTTACAACTTAAAACTGCACTAAGACTTTTGGGATACCTTACATCCTGCTAAGTGGCCTCATTTGGGGTTTTCTTGGCAAAGATATTGGAGTGCTTTGCCATTTCCTTTTCCAGCTCTTTTTACAGATGAAGAACTTTGCTTGGGGTCACACAGCTAGTAAGGGTCTGAGGCAAGATCTGAACTCAGGAAGATGAGCCTGCCTAACTCCAGGCCTGCACATCTCCTAGTTTCCCTCTTGCTACAGCTGACACTTAATAAATAATAAATGCTTATTAACTATGTAGGATATTCCAAAAGTCTTAGTGCACTTTAGGGTATTAAAAAGAGCTGCACTAAGACTTCTGGGGCACACTTTATCTATTTCCTCGTTAAGATCACTAAATGAAGCCAAGCACGCTCAGAAAAGCTTACTTTATCTCCCAATGACAAAAACGACACCGCAGTTTTCCTAGGAGCCATAGAAAACCTGAGGCCATCAGTGACTCCACAGCATTCTGGAAAGCCCGAAACCGCAGCCCCCCCCACGGGGGCGGGGTGCACGTCCACCAGGACGGAAGCTGCTGCCCTCCCAACAGCTCCACGCCGCCCGACCTCTTCAGGTTCGGGGTCAAAGAGGGATGGCAGAGGGGGCAGCTAGGTGGCTCAGCGGATACAGCACCGGCCCTGGAGTTAGGAGGACCAGAGTATAATTCCGGCCCCAGACACTCACTAGCTATGTGACCTCGGGCAAGTCACTTAACCCCACTGCCTAGCCAAAAAAAAAAAAAAGAGGGATGTCCGCGCCCTCAGGGCGGCCAGCGGGGTGCCCAGTGTCCAGAACCCCGCACCCAGGCAGCGCCGTCCCCGCTCCAGGGCCAGGCCCGACCTCCCTCGGGGGCGGCGCCTCGCCCGCCCGCGGTGACCTTCATCAGAACTTCGGCCTCGGGTGTCCCCGTCTCGGGCCGCCGCCCGCAGCGCTGCATGGCCCGGCTCCCAGATCTCCCTTGCCCCACTCCCTTGCCAGCCCTCGGGCTTCCCTTCGGGATGCTCCCCATCAGGGCCTGGAGGCGATGCCGGCTCCACTCCGGTCGCTCTGGGACAGCCGGCCCGTAAGCCCCCTGCCGCGCCGGACCCCACCCGTCGGCGTCTGTCCCAGGGGCCGCCCCGCGGCCTCACCGCTCGCGTCAGAGCCAGCCGCCGGCCGAGCAGCAGCCGCACAGCTACGCCAACCCCGGACATGTCTGCTGGCCGCTGCAGAAGACTGCCCGAGTGGGAAGCCCCCCGCCGCTCGCCAGTGCGTCTGCGCAACCAGGCCCCTCCCCCTAGGAGGGAGGGGCAGCCCCGAGGAAGCGCCCACCCGAGGCCATTGACCGGACTTAAAGGGCAAATCAGCGGGCGGCGGAAGATAAGGGGGCTGACGAGACCAGACTCTCGTGGCTTTTTCTCGCGAGAGTCGTTCGCGTGCCTTTTCTCAGCCCGCCAAGACCCCGCCGGGGACGGTATTCCTCAGCGGTGCGGGCGGCCCCGGCGGCGGCGGTGGCGAGCGAGGGGCCGCGATCCGGGATCCTCGCTGCCCGGGTGAGTCCCCCCGCAGCCCGGGCAGCGCCACTCTCCCCGTCCCTCTGCCCAGGATGCCCAGACCTCCCAAGCTGCCGGGCGGGCCTAGGCCCTGCCCCGCTGGGAGCCGGGAAGTCGAGGGAGGGAGGCAGGCTTCCGGGCCCGGATGACCCGCCCACTTGCTGCTGCCCCAGACGCGGATTTGAGGGATTAAAAAGACAGGGTTTGGGGCGCTCCCACCCCGGTAAAGTCCGCGAGGAAAAGGGCGGACTGCACCCCATTTCGTCTTTGGGCGGAGGATTTTTACGTCTCTTGTCTTTCACATGGCCTCACACCATATTCCTTGTTAGTGCAGTTCAGTTCAACGGTCGTTTAAATTCACTAAGTCCCTACTTTGTGCTTAACACTGAGCCCGGAGTGGGGCGGAAGCCCCGGGCTGGGCACGGGTGGGGAGATGGTGGGGGCGGGGGGAGACCACCGTACCTGACCCTCTGTGCCTTGGGCCAGTGCTGAGTGGGCCACGTGAGTGAGTCAATTTTCTGAGTTGTGAAAGTTACTCCGCTCTTTGTAGAACTGCTCGGTAAGCCCCGAGGGAATCGCTGAGCAATAATCAATGCTTGTAGTTATGAACCTGACTCATGGGAGAAGAGCTTATATTATTTTTTACCTGGCCTGCTGGTGTGTAATAAGTTTTAGAAAGATTCTCTTCCTGGAGGGGTCAATCCCAAAGTTTTCAAGAGTATTATTACTCCGTTGTACTCAATAACATCCACGTTGTGAGATGACTAATATTGATAAACTTAACCCTTCCCAGCAATACAAGGATCTTAGACACCTCCAAAGGGCTCGTGAAGGAAAATGCTATCCACACCCAAAGAAAGAACTATGGAGTTTGAATGCAGATCGAAGCATACTATTTGCTCTTTTTTTCTTCTGTTGTGTTTTGTTTCTTCTTTCTGGTGGTTCCTCTTATTATTCTAATTCTTACTTACAACATCACTAATGTGAATATATGTTTAATAAGAATGTGTATGTAGAGTCTGTATGAGATTGTGTGCTGTCTTGGGGAGGGTGGTGGGGAGGAATGGGGAGAAAAATTTTAAATTCAAAAGCATATGGAAGTGATTGTTGATAAATCAAAATAAATTAATAAAAAAAGGATATTGCTACTCACAGCACCATATTCTGCAAAGGTTATTAGTGCCCAAGGTTTTAATGAATAATGTAGTAAATGCTGACTGCCAAATGAGTGGTACAGACAGTAAAAGAGGGTGGATAGGTCACTTCTGCCTGTGAGGTGTAGAAAAGCAGTAAACTGAAAAACATTCTAGGCTTAGAGAAGGACTATTAATAAAGACACCCAGATAGTGTTTGGGGAAGATAACTGGAGAGAGGTCCAATGTGGTGAGACTTTAGCATGTGTCGGAGTAATGGGAGATTGTTCAGAAATTATAGCATAGATTTAGAGCAGGAATGGGCCATAGAGTTTGTACAGTTTCAGCCAGACTAAGTGACTTGTCCAGGGTCACACATAAGTGGCAGAATCAGGATTTGAACCTGGGCTTTCTGATGCCAGATCTCTTGCTTTTTCAGTGAAACATGTATCATCCTATACTGTGGTCAATAGTCATATAGCATCACCAGGAGAATAGTTCTTTTAAAAGGACAGGCTTTTATGGAAAAAAGTCAACAAGCATTTATCAATCACAAATTCAGGCACTGTGCTGAGAATACAAAGGCAAAAACATAACCATAACCTATGCTTTGATTTGTGGTGGGTGAATTAAAATCTAGGAGACTATTTCATTGGTGTAGGAAAGAGGTAATGAGGGTTGTATGAATAGAGAGAAGGGGATGGATTTTAGAGTAGCTGGAACTATAGAATTAACAAGATTTAGCAGCTGGTTGGATATTGGATCTGAATGGTATTAAGAGTTGAAGATGTCTCCAGGTTTGCAAATCTGGTAGATGGCAGGATGGTGGTACCCTCAATAGTAATAGGAAAGGTAGGAAGAGGGTTGCATCTTAGGGAGAAGAGAATGAGTTCTCTTTGGAACATTTGAGTTTTAGGTGTCTGTGGGGCATTGTGATGGAGTAGATGAGATTTGAGCTGAGTCTTGAAGGAATCAAAAGAAACTGAGAGGCAGGGATGAGGAGGAAAAACATTCCAGGCATGGGGGACAGCCAGTGAAAAGACACAGGAACAGGAAATGGAAGGGAGTATGTGCAGAACTGTAAGTAGCCAGTGTAGTTGGGTCATGGAGTATGTAAAGGGAATAAAGTGGAAGAACATTGGAAAGGGCCTTGTGAAAAGCTTTAAATGCCAAAGAGAGGACTTTACAATGGATCCTGGAAATAAGAGGGAAGCACTAGAATTTATTCAGTAAGGGAGTGACATCATCAGACTTATATTTTGAGAATATTCTCTTAGCAAATGGATACAGGATGAAGTGGAAAGGAGAGAGACTTGAGGCAAGAAGACCCATCAGAAAGCTATTGCAGTAGTTCACAGGAAAGTTGATGAGGGCCTGTACACTTAGAGGGGCAGGTATGGGAGAAGAGAGAGAGTGAGAGAACTTACGTGTGTGTGTGTGTGTGTGTGTGAAAGAGAGAGAGGTTTGTGAAGGTAAAAATGACATGATTTGGTAATGGCTTGGAGATTTAGGATGACACTGAAGTTATAGGCTCAAGTGACTGGGAGAATGAAGGTATCCTTCATTGTAAAAGAGAAGTTCTAAAGAAGGGAAGATTTGGTGAGGGGAGAGATTATGAGTTCTGTTATGGATTTCTCCCTGGGTTTTCATAATACTGCTTTATACTGGTTCTCTATTCATATCTCCTCCTTTCACGGGGTCATTATCTATAGTCCTTTCTTCCCCACAATCCTCTAGTTTCTGAGTGTAACCCAGCATTCTGCCAGAAGCCATCATCTCCATGTCTGTCTCTGTACTCTTGATTATCTCACAGTTCTACAGATTGAACTATATTCTATGTAGATGACTCCTAAATCTACATTTCCAACTCTCAGCTCTTTCCTGAGCTCCAGTTCTACATCTCTAGTAGCCATTACTACTGTAGCAGCTCATAGTTGTCTCAGCCTTAAAATATCCAAAACAATTCATTATCTTTCCCCCTAAATATGCCCTTTCTCCCATCTTCCTTATTTCTGTCCAGGGCACTTTTGTCACCTAATTTGGTAACTTTGGAGTTTTTACTTTTATTTACAGTAATTTCCCCACCTGCCTCCTCATGTTCAGTTACCAAAATTTATTGATTCTTTATCCTCAAAGTCTGTGCATCCATCTTCTCTCCACTCATACCAGACTCCCTGATTTAGCTCAACTGAAAAGGCTCCATTAATTTAAAATGTGCTGTTTCTGTGAGTTTGCAAGGCATTTCTTAAAATCAAAAGGTCAGAGGTCCAATTGATCAGTTCTCCCATTCATTTTCATTCCTGTATTTGGTGGCAAATACATCTTCAGATGAGTGATTATGTAGTGCATATATGAGTAAGGGAAAAGGAAGAACCTTAACACAGAAGATTTATGTACCCAAATGAGAATTATTGAAGGATACTTTTTATAGCTGGTGGAGGCTACAGGATGTGCTGTCAATCATAAAGTCTTTATGCAGTGCAATTTGAGGGACACATTCAGGGCAACTCACTTAAGATGACTTCCCAACTTTTTCCTTTTACATAGAAAAGGTTATTTTTGGTGTATGGTAAGGATATTCCTTTGAATTTGAGGGATCTGTTATTAGTGGGGAAGCTAGGTGTTAACTGTTACCTGGACTCCCAGATCTGTCTATGGTTAGCGATCTTAGAGCATTGTCTTTAGTTGAAAGGTTGAAGGAAGATGAAAGGGAAAGGGAGAGGGAGTCTTGACTCATCCTGTCCCTACCTGCCTTTGAATTTGTACTCAGAGATAAGAGACTGTACTTTATGGTTTTAGCTGGACTCTTGTACAAGTAGTCATGAACTCATGCAAAAAACAAAGTTGCCAATTTGTTTATGGCCTGAATTTCTGATTTAACTTAACTTTCCTGAGCCATAAGACTTCCAGACCATAAAACATAGTATAGATACAGTGAATAAGTTAACATTCATTCAGGGCATTTTATTCATTACTTTCTATACTAGAAGGAAATGGCAAACCACTCCAGTATCTTTGCCAAGAAAACTCCGGATGGAGTCACAAAGAGTCGGAAACAACAACAGAGCCTTTTGTTCAATACTTTATATACTAGAACATTTTTTCATCTATGAGTTGTGTCATCAGTTGCCATGGGCAGCTAGATGGTGAGGTGGATAGAATGCCAGGCCAGGAAGACTCTTCCTGAATTCAAATCTAGCCTCAGACACTTATTAGCTGTGTGATCGTGGGCAAATCACAACCCCGTTTGCCTCAGTTTCCTCATTTATAAAATGAATGAGAGAAGGAAATGCAAACCACTCCAGTATCATTCATTGCCAAGAAAACCTCAAATAGGGTCATGGAGGGGTTGGACACCACCGAACAACTATAACAAATATGTTTTCTGCCCCTCAGGCACTCTGTCCCATCCAAACTAGCCTAATTTGTGTTTTCCTCACATGACATTCTTGTCCAGTCTTTCTGAGTGTACCTTTGCATTGGCTTTCCTCATGCCTTGAATACTCTCTTTCATCTCTACTAGAGAACCCCCTAACTCCCTTTAACACGACTGAAGTGCCCCCTCCTTCAAGGATGCCTTTCTTGATTTTCCCAGTTATTTCTGTGCCACCCCCCATTTGTATGCGTTTTATATAGTCAGTCAGTAAACATTTACTTAGCACATACTTACATAGTAAGGGATAAAAAGGAAGGTTAAAGATAGTCAAGAAGCTCACAGTTTAATGAGGGAGATTATATGCAAACAGCTGTACAGATAAGCCTTATAGAGGATAACTGGAAATATTCAGTAGAGAGAAGGACCTAGAATTAAGGGGGATTGGGAAACATCCTGTGTTTTCTGTGAACCTGTTGTCTTTCATTCCCTTTTAACACCCATATCACCAATAGAAGGTAAATTCCTCAAAGGAAGAGACTTTCACTTTTGTATGTGTATCTCCTTGACAAAGTAAATACTTAATAAATATTTGATTGTTTGAGACCCTAAGAGGAGCAGGGAAGGCAGTGCTACTTTACCCAGTACTTAGAGTTTGTAGTGAGAGAGACCTCTCACCTAGAGAGCAAGGTGGCTATTCAGGTTAGAGCTAAGAAAAGCTTATAAGAATATTTACCAGTGAATCTAACAACTGGGACAATGTTTTCCAATTGATGTAAGACTTTCTTTGAAATGAAGAAATAGGAAAAATGTGGAAAAAGGGAGAGCACATGTTCTAGAAGAAAAGGATGAGGCAGTAATACCAGGTAAGAAGCCCTTTTGCATTTCACACCTACTTCCAGGGAATCCTACAGTATCTTTCTGCTTTAGACCTGTAAGTCAAGAGCACCTGGAGAACCCTCCAGGTTCTTCCAGTCTGGTCAAAACCAGCCTTGTCCAAACTCCTTGTTTGGGGACAAGTAAGAGGAAGGGCTAGCCGAAGGGGACAGATCAGGCCTGCTGGAGCCCCTGAAGAAAAGAGCAGATCTCTTCTCTAGGAAAAGGGCCTCCTCCTGCTCTACAAGACATCTAGCTTCCTAGCATCCTCAGAGGGCATCAGGACAGGGAGATGCATTCTCTTTTTTCATTCTTCTTCTAGTAGGAGAATATTCTGACTGGTTTTCAGAGGCGGAATTGAGAATGGTTATTCCAGAGAAGAGAAGACATGGGGGGCCTTGATAACTGTCTTCAAGTATTTGAAGGGCTCTCCTGTGGAAGAGGAATTGTGATTCGTCCCCATAAGGTAGAACTGGGAACATTGGATGGGAATTGCATAAACAAATTTAGATTTGGTAAAAGGAAAAAATATTCAACCATCAGGAAAGTATTTATTCAAAAGTAGAATAGCTGCCTCAAGAGGAAAAGAATTCCCCATTATTGGAGGTATTCAAGCAAAGTCTGGATGATCACTTGTCAGTGACATTGTAGACAGGTTTTTTTGTTCATATAGAAATTGGACTTGATAATCAATGAGGTCCCTTCTAATTGTGAAATTCTGTGATTTCTTCTTATAACAATAATGTTATCTTTTTAAAGGTTCATCTCCATGAATAACTTAAATGACCCTCCACATTGGAATATCCGGCCTAATTCCAGGGCAGAGGGTGGTGATGGAAGCAGATGGAATTATGCTCTACTGGTTCCCATGCTGGGATTGGCAGCATTTCGTAAGTTATGGGGTTTTTTTTATAGTTTTTGGATTTTCTGGGCTGAAAGTTTTGTGTACTGCTTCAGTGAGAATTATTTTGTTTTTCAACTCCTCTTTGGTCCTAAAGTAAAAGTGAGTGAAGTTGATGGGGAAGACAAAATACATGAACCCTTGGAAATTTAGTGTTTAATATTTGAAAATCTGATCTTCGAAGACTTAACTAAAGGGTAGCTGTTTCATGAAACAGTTCTTTTCTTCAAGGAGCTTACATTCTATTGGGAGGAAAAGCACATACACAGAAAAGTAAATACAAAATACATACAAAGGACAATTCCCAAGGGGAGGACACTAGCAACTAGGGAATCAGAATAGACCTCTTGAGAAGATAGCACTTGAGTTGAGCTTTGAAGGAATTGAAAGATTCTGTGAAGCAAAGGTGAAGAGGATGTGTAATCCAGGAATGGTGCTAGGCTTTTATAAAGGCTCAGAGACAAAAGATAGGCTGTAATATATGGGATGGCATAAGTAAGCCAGGTTGGCTGGAACAGTAATATGCAATAAACCTAGAAAGTTAGGCTGAATTGTGCCTTCAGAGGACGGAAGGTGAAGAATACCTCTTGGCAGAGGTAGCAGACTTGGTTCAGAATGAGGTTCATTTGTAGGCGTGGCCAATGTGTTCGATTTACTTTGCTTGATTGTACATAATTATTACAAGAAGAGTTCTGTGGTACAGATGAGAAGTTGCAGTGTGGTGTTCTAAAAAAAATCAGTGAAACATTTTAAGAGATAAAATTAAATTTAAAAAATTTAAAATAAAAAGAACTTTATATTGAAGGACATCATTAAGGACTTTAAGCCAAACCTATGACTTTAAACACTGGAACTTTTTCAGCAGTACTTCTCAAGAGATCATGAGGGCCTGAACAAGAGTGGTTGTAGTATGTATACCAGAGGGGACAGGAGTAAACATGACATCACTTGGCAACTGATTGAGTATGAGGGATGAGGGAAGAAGAAGAATTGAGAGTTTACTCTGAGGTTGCAATTTGGAGCAACTTGAAAGAAGATGGTTCTCTCATTTGGAAATAGGAAGAGTAGGAAGGGTTAGCTAAAAGTTCCTCTGAATTCATAAGAATACTTTGTCCCATTCTTAGGATGCTTATTACATTCTGCCTTGTCTTGTCACTGAATGATTCAATTTAATAAACATTAAGCCTTAATAATAATATTATTCATAATAATATTCTTACTATTTACAAAACAGTATGTCATGCTGATACTGTAAAGTAGGCAAGGCTGCTAAGTAGACAATGTGAAATCAAGGGGGCAGAGAAAAAGATATAGAACTGGACATGGGCTTCTAATTTTCAAAGATTTATTAATCACAAAGCTTCAACTACCCTGACACTCACTGGCTTCCCTTGGGGCATGCTTGTTGAATTGATTTATTCATTCACTCATTAATTCAGCAAACATTTATTAAGTAACTACTTTCTGTAGAGCACTATTTTAGGAGATGAAAAAAATACAAAGTTTAGCTAAGATGTGTTTTTGCCTTCTAGAAATGTATAGTAGGGGTATAAGTTACAAATATAGGTGACCATAATACACAAGATTACATAATTGCATATGCTGTGGGAAGTTCATAGAAGAAGCTTTTCTATTGATTAGGGAAGACTTGATGGTGGAAGTGGCATTTTATTTGGATTTAAAGGATATGTAGAAATTCAGTAAGTGAAGAGGGGAGGGAAGATATTCCAAGCATAGGGAACCATGTGAGCAAATGTGGGAATGTACAGTGCTTTTTTGGGAATTAGTAATCCAGTTTGACTAAAGCAAAGAGCTTATGAGTATAAAATAAGACAGAAAAATTTGTGAAGGTCATTGCCTGTTAAAAAAGAATTTTAAATGTTATCTGGTGAGCATTATGGAACCACTGGAAATTTTTGAGCATTTTAGCATAATGACCAGAACTATTCCTGAGGAAAATTATTATGGTAGTAGTTTGAGAAAATGGTTTGAGAAGGGATAGAAGAGTCAGTTGTCATATTCCTGGTGGGTGTTAATAAGCATCTGCAGTAAGGCTGTGGCGGTGGGAATGGAAAGTAAGGGACAGCTGTAAGAGGTATTGTGTAAATAGGGTTGACAGGATTTGGTTAATATTAGGTATGAGAGGTGAGGAAGAAGGGAGAAGAGATAACATTAGTATTTCCAGCATGATAGATTGAGTGAATGGGGGTGACATTGCCAGAAATGGTGAAGTCAGAGAAGTAGTTTTCTGTGAAAAGAGAACAGGTTCAGTTTTGGGCGTGTTGAGTTTGAGTACTTTGTTTAGACACTCAGGTTGAGCTGTCCTGGATGAATACATAATTACAAAAGACAGAGAGTGCCACTTGTGGGTGCTGGGGTTGATCTCACAGCACTGAAAATGTGAACCATGATTCCTTTTGAGTCTCCCATGTGTGGGTAAGATAGGGAAAGAGCTTGTTGTTTGAGCAGAAGAAAAATGAACTGCATTTTTACCTAATGGGTAAGACTCTCATGTTCTCTGGATGCATTTATAGAAGCTACATTTCTGTTGTTTCTCAGGGTATGTAGTCCTTGTCTCCTCAGTTTAGGAAAAACTAGAATCATGAAATTAGTGTGACTAATGATGTCCTGAGTTGTACAGTCATGTGTCCCTGTATAGTCCCTAACAATTAGAGCTACAAGGACATTAGACGTCATTTAGTGCAGCTCCTTCATCTTATAGATGAAGAAGAAAAGGAGGCCCAGAGAGGTGAAATGGCATGTCCAAGACTACTTGGGCAGCAAGGTAATTAATAAGTAGCAGATTCAACATTTGAACTCAGGTTCTTTCATTTCAAACCAGTGTTCTTTGCTGTTATTCTTCTTATGATAATTTGTGTTTCTCCTGGGATAACTAAGTAAAGCCAGCAGTTGATAGAATTATTCCCTCTTGCCATAATATTTATAAAAGGGAGAAATGAAGGGAAATTTGTGCCTTGCAGGTAATAATATTTGGTGGTAGAGTTTGTGGCTCTGGAGTCACAGGGCTTAAGTCCAAATCCTTCCTCTGAAATTTACTTACCTGTGTGATATTGGGCAAGTCTCTTAACTTCTTTGGGCCTCAGTGGTTTCATCTGTAGAATGAGGGGGTTGGACTGGATGGTCTCTGAGGTCCAGCTGGTTTCTGAAGTCCCCTTTAACTCTAGATCTACATTATCATTTGATCCTATGAGATATTCTCCTCTTAGAGCACAGTCATCCAGAATTTTGCTGTAGCTTCAGTAGTCACAGCTGGGTTGATTGGGAGAGGATGAATTTGAATTTAGGTAGTAATCAGCTGACCATGAACAGAAATCAGTATAACCTAGCCATATTGTCTTTTAATATCTTGTCTGTTTTATGCTGGAGCCAACATAACCAAGTGGTAGTAGGATCCAAAGCAAAAGTAAATAGCGACAAACAGCTAAATTCCATTTATGTTTCTTCCCCCAATACAAAAACAAAATACACCCAAAACCAAACAAACTTTTTAGGTAGACTAATAGGAAATTTGCCTGTCTGCATGGTCATGCTTCTCGGTGAAGGGCAGAGAGCCTCTGTTTGCATCGCATATAAAATTCTGTATGTTACAATTTAATGCAAATCCCTTTCTTATACTAACACCTAAAATCTTCAGCATTTGTTGAGATACCATCCTGTTAGGTTCTGTTTTTTGATAACTGTTAATTTTCTTTAAGGAAAAAAACTCAGAGCTTCGACACTGACTTTTTTTTGTCATTTTTGCTTTTTTTTTAAATCTTAGGTTGGATTTGGTCTAGGGAGTCTCAAAAAGAAATAGAAAAAGAAAGAAAAGCCTACCAACAAAAAGCAATTGCTTTCCAACAGGATCTTGAAGCTAAATACCGTGATATTATCTCAGAAAACCGTCGTGCAGTAGCTCATTTGTCTGTGGAGCTTGAAAAGGAGCATAATAGAACAACTAGCTATCGTGAAGCCCTCATCTCTCAGGGTCGAAAATTAGTAGAAGAAAGGAAACTTCTGGAACAGGAACGTGCGCAGGTAATGCAAGAAAAGCAGCAGCTACAACCTTTGAAAAGTGTGTATCAACACTGCTTGGAAAAGGAAGAAAATTGGCAAAAAAGAGCTGCCTTTTTGCTGAAAGAATTTGAAGAAGCACTTATAGAACGACAGAATATCTACTGTAGTTTGGTTCTTCCTCGGACCAAGCGCCTAGAAATCGAGAAAAGCTTGTTAGTTCGAGCATCCATCGATCCAGTTGCTGCTGATCTAGAGATGGTATCTGGTTTAACAGATATATTTAAGCATGACACATATTGTGGAGATATGTGGAATTCCAACAAACGTCAAAATGGGAGGCTCATGTGGCTTTATCTCAAATATTGGGAATTAGCTGTTGAATTGAACAAATTTAAGAGAGTAGAGAAATCCATATTAGAAAAATAAGAAAAATGTGGAATAGGGAGGCTCCTCTTATTGGCTATGAATGGAGTAAGACAAGATTGACATTCTGGGATTCTGGCTTTCCCAATATCTTTTCTTTTTTTTTACCGTGCTGTTACCACATATAGTGCCATTAAAGCAGAATGTCTCTCTAGCTATGAATTAGCTGGCATGCTTCTAAAGGTTGCCAGCTTGTAAAAGTAGTTGCAGTTTACCTTTCCTTCCCTGAGGAGGCAACAGGTTAACTCCCTACTGTACTTGGCTTGCAGCTGTTAAAAAAGATACCAACTCTGAAGCTTCTCCTGTGCCACTGATATTTTAAATAACAGAACACCACTATTTTTTCCTACCACCAAATTAGCTTTGGGAAAGAATTACAGTCTATTTTTGTTGCTCCCTTAAAAGTTATGGTTTCCTTTGAACCATTTAATCTCATAGCATATTTTTTTCCCAAAATGAAATCTAAAAATTGTCAGATTCTATGCAGAATGGTACTGTAGTTGACAGTGCAAAATAATGCTATTTATCATATTAATACAGCTATATCAGGTTACTTAAACTTTACAGTGTTTCTTGAATTCAGATTTATGCAATATTAAATGAGATTGGATTGTTTGTATTCACTGTGCAGATTTTAGTTATGTCATTAGTGTTATATGAAAATTGATAGTAGCATGAACTATCAAAAAATAGTCCTTTAAGAATATGAATCATATTTTATATGTAGAGCACTTTATGCTTTATGAAACTTTAATGTAACATCCCCACAACACCACCATTAGGACAGATGTTCTCATTTTATATTTGAGGAAACAAACTTGAAAGCTTATTGAATCTCAGATAGCATGGCTGGTAAATGACAGAGCCAGAGACCTGGTCAGTACTCTTTCACTCAAGCGCATTTCCTATCCAGATAGGGGTAAATAAGAGAAACAGTAACAAATATGAGCTTTATTACTTAAATTCATATTTAGGGTAATGCTTCCCTGAAGAACAAGAAGAGGGCTATTAACATGTGCTCTACAACTGTGACCTGGCTGTAGAAAGACCTGGTTTGACTTGGTATTCTCTTTCTTGGTATTCATCATCAAAATCAAATTCAACCGTTATTTTCAGCTTCCTCTGATCGCATCAGTTTTGTTTTGTTTTGAGAAAGGGCATGCATTACCAAGGTTAGCAGGAGGGGAGAAAAATAAGATTATGAAAGTTTTTCACAGTGCACATTTCTAGAATGGTATAGAGAACTCTGGGTAAGCATTGCATTTAAGTTGGCTTTAGGAAAAAATAGCTTTCCATATGGCTTAGTGCTTTTTGTTTCGCTGGGTGCTCAGAGTCTCACTTGTTTACAGAGTTGGATCACTTTATCATCACTTAGCATAAGGCTGAGTATGAAAATGATATCTTTGAGTAGATATGGCCCAAGAAGTTCACTGTAATCTTCTATATTCCCCAAAGTTTTGTATCTGAGATTCTCTAATCAATAATTCCATTGATTAGCTATTTAACCTTAAACAAGTCAATGAGATTCCCAGACTCTTTAGTTGGAAGGTACCCTAGAGGCCATCTAGTTCATTTTGTCTTATCAATTCATCCTCACTCTTCATGTCTTTAACAAAACAAAACAAAACAAAACAAAATGAAGAAAATTAGTCGGGCTTTAGTTTTTCATTTTGTTAGATGATTCATATTGGCTTTTTAATCCTATGCTATCTTCCTTCAGTTATTCTCTTCTAACATCTAGCTGGTGTGTGGTCATGGAGTGCAACCTAATTTAGATATGGGCCCAAATAAAACAAAATTAAGAATAAAATCAATTAGGAATTAATATGATTTTATGCTTCTTCTACCAAAAAAAAATTTACAGTAGTGTCTTCCAGAGTCAGGTAGAAATAACTTGATTTTCTTTACCCCTGCTTCCCTAACATGATTAATTGAGAATTTACATTATTTTACTGATCTTCTGCAAAGAACACCTGTAATGAATGAGATATCTGTATCATCTAATAAAAATAAGAGTATATGAGGTGAACATTTCCTTTAGTAAAGAAGAAAATAATAGTGGACCAAATACTAATTTTATAGTCTTTTTTCCAAGACTAAATGGCAGTATAAGGGTTGTACATTAAAACTTTGAATTTGATCCTGAGAGTTGTGACAATGATCAATGAAGTAAAATGTAGAGAAATTTAACAGAATATAGAGAGAGCCTTCTTGTAGCTCGGGGGGAAGATTGGAACCAGGGATAGCTCAAGACTTTTGAGATAGAAGTTCTGCTGGCATGCTTACAGACAGGATAATAAATTATCAAAATGAGAAACATGGAAGATATCCTTTAATAGAAATGGGAGAGAGGGAACTACATATCCTAGCATGTGACATTTGATTATTTTTAAGTCAAGAGGTTTTGGGGTAAATTATATATGTATAGGGTGATGGTGTGTTTCTTTGTGGTTCACACTGTTTTCTAACTATCTCATTGTAAAAGTGCCCATTTCAGGGTATTTTTGTGATGTAAAAGAGGTGAGCACCAGGACTAACCTCTTGCTATTTGCAAAAATAAAATTAAAAGTAGACAATAATTCTGTAGAGTTATATAATGTTTTTCCCCCTAAATAACATTTTTGCCCTTGAATTACTACTTTTTTCCCCAAATTCCTTGTCAGTTAGGCATGGTAGATACAGCTTTTTAATTAAAATGCCATAGAAGTGGAAAAACTGCAAATATTATACCCTATATCACATACTGTAGGGGAAAATACTCATAAGAACATTTGTTATAGTCCTAAAGCACTTGCATTTTTCTTCTTAAAGAGGTGTGGCTAATTAAAATGTGTCAATTATCTATGATAAATGTCTCCTGAATCTGCCTTCTTCTTGCTACTGCTACTACCGTATTGAGTTTCTCATCATTTCTTGCTAGGATTATTATAGTAATTTCCTAACTGAACTCCTTGCCTCGCAGTTAAAAATATACACCCAAACTATACTTACCCTATCTGCTCATAGGGTTAAATCTAACTTGGATCTAACCATCACACAAAACAGGGCCAACTCCATGACCTTGAACCCTGAAATTCTTACTGATTGTAATCTCCTTTTCATTCACCTTTCTCCCTGCCTCTTAAACATACTGTTCAGCTTCCTCTGTATTCTGGTCCTTTCATCCTTCCCTGTTCTTCCCAATCTATTGCCCTGGACTCACTTTCTTCCATTTCTCTTGGCCCTCTAGGAAACCAGTTTAGCTATATATTGTCCACCTTTAAATACCTTGTCTGCTTATCCTGCTGTTTAACAACAAAAGCCCTTCAAATGCTCTTTGACTGCCTTGGGTGGATTGGGAAGAAGAAAGGGGCTGGTTAGCTCAGTGGATAGACTACTGGACCTGGAGTCAGGAAGACCTGAGTTGCTACCTACTAGCAAAGTGACCCTGGACAAGTCTTTTAACCTTTGTCTGCCTCAGTTCCTTTATCTGTAAATGGGGATAATAAACTCTCTGGATTGTTGTGAGAATAAAATGAGGCAGTATTTGTAAAGCTCTTTATAAACCTTAAAGCACTATGTGAATGATAACTATTACTTTGACTAGAGTCCTTAAATATATATTATATGTATATGTGTACATACACATATGTACATATGTATGTATATTTGCAGTTAAGCGTTTATTTTCTTTCTCCAGCTCCAATTAAAAAAAAAACAAACCTTGAAATATGCATAGTCAAGGAAGACATTTTAGAGTGGTTATATAAAAATGCCTTACTCTTCATCTTGAGTCCATCAACTCCCTGAAGCAGTATGGTTAGCATTCTTCATTTGCTGATCTGCTAGTATTATGGTTGGTCATTACATTGACCAGAATTCTTCAAGATTTCAAAATTGTATCTATAATATTGTTATTGTTGTAAGTTAAGTTACTGTTGTTAGAAGTTACTCAACAATATTATTGTTATGTTGTATAAGTTATTCTGCTTCTGCTCACTTATGCTGCATCAGTTTCAATAAGTTTTCCCAGGTTTCTCTGAAACCATCCTTTTTATAACTTCTTACAGCAAAATAATGTTCCATTAATTCATATGTCATAATTTATTCAGCCATTCCCTGATTGACAGGCACTTCCTCAGTTTCCAGTTCTTGGTCTGTACATTAAGCTGCTATGAATATTTTTGTACGTATGTGTTCTTTTCCTCTTTGATCTTGGAGGTAGAGGTATTGCTGTGTCAGAGGATAAGCATAATTTAGTAACTTTTTGGGCAGTTCCAGCATGGCTGGACCAATTCACAGCTTCACCATCACTGCACTAGTGTACTTATTTTCCTCCAACCCATTCGACATTTGTCATTTTATTTTTTGTCAGTTTTGCCAATCTGAGGGGTATGAGGTGGAAGCTCAAGAGTTATTTTAATTTGCATTTTTCTTAGTGTTTTGGAGGATTTTTTTCATATTGCTATTGGTAGCATAGATTTCTGCCTTTGAAAACTGCCTTTTTGTATGTTTTGACAGTTTATCAATTGGGAAATGCCTCTTATTTTTATAAATTTGAAAAAAGTTTCTTATATATGTATATACCTTGGAAATGAGACTTATAAGAGAAACTTGCGGCAAGATGTACTCCTAGTTGACTTTTCCTTTTAAGCTACATTCAAACTATATCCCCTTTTTTTAAAATTTGTTTTTTTTCAATGAACAAATCTCTATCTTCTCACCCTTCCACTTCTTTCCCTGTGTCTCACTGTTTACCAGGAGTTCCCAAACTTTACATGGCCTATCACCCCCTTTTAAAATAAATTACTCAACACCCCCAGGAAATCTACTTTATTTAATTTTTTTTTAAATTTGCGACATTTCAAAAAAAATTTTTTTTAATGATACATCTTAAATTTAATCATTTATTGTAAATTTGTGAGTTTTCCTGCATTGAAATTTTGATGATACAATATTGCATCATGTAACTGGATAGTATTTTGTTGTAAACAAGTCATTACACGCACGTATTCCTGCTGATGCTTGCTGGACTTCCTGACAATGACTGACACACAGGCCTGCCAACACTTGCTTGGTAAGATCTGTTGGTGGACTTGTCCACTCATGGGTTATAACTTACATTTTGTGTGTTTTTTTGGAAAATAATGTAGTCACTACAGCTTTTAACTCTGTTACACAACAGACGAAACACGTATGAACGGTTTTTCAAAATTTTCTTTTCTTCCCTTTTTTCCTTATGTTTCCATTGCCCCCTTATTTTTATTTGGTGCCCGCCAATTACACCTGAGGCTACTATCGCCACCCTAATCGTTCCAGCTTCCTACAAGGGAACCTATCAATTATACCCTGTGTCCATCACCTCTGTCTGGAGGCGGGTAACATATTTAATCATTAGTCCTTTGGAATTAGGATTGGTTATTGTGTTGATCTTTTTTCCCATCCTCTTTTTTATAGACAAGAGGAAGGTGAGAAAGATATGGCTTAGCTCTAGTGTTCTAGGTTTGATGCTGTCTGCTGCTCCTATGCCTCTCTTATCCCCTCAACTAGAGCTCAATCTTTCTTTCCTGTATTTTCTTTTCTGACTCTTTGAGATCCTCCAGAGTTTATTTTGTTTAGGACTAACCCTTCCTTTAATGTACTCTTCCTCTTATTCCCTACTTTCTCTTCTCTTTCTAGAGTTTTCATGTTGAGTGAAATGTATTGCTGTACCCAAATGTGAAGAAAGGCTAGATATTGTAGATGGGATTAGGACAGCTAGGTGGTGCAGTGGATGTAGTGCCTGGCCTGGAGTCAAGAACACCCAACTTCCTGAGTTCATAGGCTCGGACACTTGCTAGCTGTATGACTCTGGGCAAGTCACTTAACCCTGTTTGCCTCAGTTTCTTCATCTGTAAAGAAAGAAATGGCCAACCATTCCAGTATCTCTGCCAAGAAAACCCAAATGAGGTCGCAAAGAGTTGGACACAACTGAAAATGACTCAGTGGGATTAATGATTTGGACCTCTCAGCTCCCTTCTAATCTGTGATAGTTCTATGATTATAAGTGATTTCTCTCTCTTAAAATTTGTTCAGAAAGCATGTTCAACCCTTCCTTTGTACTTAAAACATTCTGCCTTGTTTTATAGGGGGGTTTTTTCTGTATATTTAGCCCCTTTCCCTAATTAGAATGTAAACTTCTTAAACACAGGGGCCATGTCTTATTTCAGTTTAAATGGGCCTAGCACAATGTTTTATTATAATATATATGTGTTGTTGAACAGATTAGAGGACATAAGATAATAAGCTCAGATTTCTTGCTTTTTGTATATTTTTGATTTGTATATTGCCTGTTTTCCTCATTGGAAAATATCAGAATCAGACACTTGTTTAAGGACTGGAGGATAGAAGGGAATAGGGAAGGAGAAGCACAAGGGTGAGAAATAACAGTGGATAGGGAAATAGGGGTGTAGGGTAAAAGGTTGAAGAAATGGACTCTGTCCCTGGGGTCCTTAGAGAAAAAAAGGAAAGAAACTGGCCAAAGAGCTGGCCCAGACACGGTTTTGAAATGTCAGAAGACCCAGACCTCCCAGTTCCTCATCCTAAGCTGACTTCTAATGTCTGTCTTCTCAATGTCCTACCCTGTTGAAGCTCTTGCCCCAGGCCCCAAGAACCAGCATCATTGCCTTAGAGCTGGAGGGATTCCCTTCTCTCAAATCCTGGCTTCGTCAAGAACGTGCTCCTGGCATCCCAAGTTGGAACTCGGAACTATTTTTCTCTTAGAAACGGTCCTAGTGCTGCACTTAGAAAAGTTTAGAATGTCAGAGCTGCAAGGGATCTTAGGGATTGTCCAATCCAGCTGCCTCACTTTACAGATGAGGAAGTAGAAATGTTAAGTGAACTGCCCGAACAGCTAGTAAATGGTAGAACCAGAACCAACACTCGGCTATTTGGACTGCCTGGAAGGGATTTTTTGTTTTGTTTTTAGGCAATTGGGGTTAAGTGACTTGCCCAGGGTCACATGCCTAGTAAGTGACAAGTGTTTGGTCTGAGGTCGATTTTGAGCTCAGGTACTCCTGACTTCAGGGCCCGTGCTTTTTCCACTGCGCCACCTAGCTGCCCCTGGAAGGGATTTTTAAAAAAATAAAAAGATGGTTAATACTTCCTTGCCTTTGCCAAGAGGCAGTAAATTTATTTCATTTTCAGTTCCTCCCACCGTCCAGTACTCTTCAGTACACTATGTATGGAACCTTTTCTCCTCATTTATTTATTTATTTTTTGTTTGTTTTTGGTGAGGCAACTGGGGTTAAGTGACTTGCCTAGAGTCACACAGCTAGTGAGTGTCATGTGTCTGAGGTCAGATTTGAACTCGGGTCTTCCTGACTCCAGCCGGTGCTCTATCCACTGTGCCACCTAGTTGCCCCTCCATTTATTTTCTAACGAAATCTTTCAGGCACAAGTTTGTTGTCAGAAGCAGAGTCAAGTTTATAAGAATACAAGTCAAAAACTCCTCCAAATACCTGCAAAAAACAGCTCTAAACAAATTCTAGAGCAGCTGAATCCACAAAAAGACAGAGTGAAACAAATCTCCAGCCTAAGACAACCTGGATGGTTGATTGGA